GGAAGAAGCTTTATTTAAGATGGAGTTAGTTAATGATGATGACAGCAAAGAATATGTTCGTGGAAAAAACACCAAAAGTATCAACATGATAAAATATATTTCTACCGTTGACTTTCTGCTGATTTGCAAATACCGTAAAAATATATCTCCACGGTTAGCAGTATTTGCGCTTGTGTAGAAGGAATTTCAGTAACAACAAACATAATTTTTAAAATGGGCAATTATAAGCTTTTGTGATAGCAACAACTCAACACTAGCCAGAAAGTAAAGTCAATTCAAGGCAAGGAATTAAAGTCAGTTCGTCAGTTCAAGTGAGGAAACTAAAGTCAATATGTCAATTCAAATAAGAAACTGGCGTCAATAGGTCAATTCAAGGCCTGAAATTAAAGTTAATACGTCAATTCAAACAAGACATTAAAGTCAAACTGTCAATTCAAGGCCGGAAATTAAAGTCAAGATTTCAGTTTAAGGCAGGAAACTAAATTCAATAGGTCAATTCAAAGGAATAAATTAATTTCAATACGTCAGTTCGAACATGAAATTAAAGTCACTTCGTCAATTCAAGGCATGAAATTAAAGTCAATAAGTCAATACAAGGCAGCAATTTAAAGAAGTTAAAGTCAAATCAAGGCAATGTATCTTATTAAAAGTTTTGTTAATGAAAACGTATTTTCTTGTCGCATTTTTCATACATTATCTTTGCATGCATAAATCGTTTTCCAAGGAGATAAAATATGAAAAAAAATCGGCGGGTTATTTTCCGTTATAGAGAAAGTAGTCCAAAATTAAAAGGTAAAATATTCCTTACAAATTCTAGAAGCTATGATGCAGAGGCTGCAAAAGTTGGGTCTGGAGCTTTAGAAGTACACAATTAAAAGCCTTGCAACACGCCATGCTTATTGACTACAACTTGCTCATTGCAATAATCAAATTGTGGCATTACCTGAACTCAAACGTTCGAGAATATGACCGTTTAGCACCTGACTTATGTTTGGAAAGATGTTCCAAGCAATTCAAAAATTGCATACTTGAACTGGGTCATTTACTGGTGACGATAAAAAGAAATTTCTTTCTAAAATCTCAGTTCAGTACGCATTGATCCCCAGGAAATAACTTTTCCTTAGGAAGGGGTCTACGGTCATTACCATAATTTAAAAGTATCAAATGGTACGGGATTGTTTTTATGTCTTTTTCTTACGTACACATTGAACACCCACGTTAAAAATCTCTTGGACCGCATTCGGAACAATGTAGGCATCTGGTTAAATAACTTCAACTCGCATTACTAAATAAGTTCTTATATCACGTGGGCACCCCAGAATATGTTGCAATTGATAATAAGGAGAATCAATTGTAAATAGCGCTTTCTTTTGGGAAGATCTGTCATCTGAAGCGAGCCAACGCTAGAAATTTGTTTTCTTGTGATCAACACGAAATAATAACGTCGAACGCAAGCCACTGTAATAATTTGTCCACCTTCAAATATCTGGCACAAAGCCATGATTGCTCGCGGAACAGTGTAAAGCCAATCTGTCTACTATGAATCTTTATGTCAGATTTTGTTATGCAAGTTAGCGTTTTCGCAATAAATTTGCTACAATCTAAAGCAAAATTTTCAGGCAACTCGCATCAAGTGCCTTAAAAATTATGATTTGAAATTTAACCCCAAATATTTTAATTTTGGACATAAACTAGATTTTAAAACAAACTATAAATATTTTTTAGTGGGCGATTCATTTAGAGAGTTTATAATAATACATTAAAAATAATGAAACTTCTTTCTTTCTTTTATGTACCATGTCCCTTCAGGACGTAGGCGATTATGTCTCTCCACTTCCCAGTATGTTTTCTCCTTTTGCAACTTCTCCCAGGCCCAGTTCTGTCATCCACAGGTTTAATCCCGCTAAGTATATCATGCTTTCCCTTGTTGCTCTTTCCTTCTATCCGCCCTGTGAGTATCAGATTCTCTAAAGCTTCCCTTCTCATTATGTGTTCCAGAAATTCCAGCTGCCACTTCCTGATATTAAGCTTCCTCCTTGTTTGCATCCTCTCCAAAACCTCATCGTTGCTCACATGTTCGGTCCATGGTATCCTTAGCATCCTTCTGTAGAAACATACCTGCGTTGCCCCGAGTTTCTTCTTCAGGAGACACTCCGATATTCGCTGCCGTAAAGGAGGACAGATATCACGTAGCAGTTCAGTACTGTTTTCTTTGTTACCAACGAAATCCTCCTGTCTCGTAATACTCTGCCTAGATTTTGGAATAAGTTTTGGATCTCATCGTCGCACTTATCGTCCTCTTTCAGAACATTTCCCTGATATTTAAATTTTCACACCTGCTTGATTTTAATGTCCCCGACCTGAAAAATCAGATTTCGGGCTCATCTTCTTACTAATGACCGTGCATTCTGTCTTCTTGTAGTTTGCGCTTAATCCCTCCTTCTCTCTCTCTCTCGCTACCTTCTGTAGGAGGTTTTATAATTTCATTTCCGTGTCTGCT